TTTACTTGCAACCCTGAGTGGCAAGAAATTAAAGAAGAACTTTTTACCGGCCAGCGGTCCTTCGACCGGCATGATATTATCGCCCGAGTATTTCATTTGAAAATGAAAAAAATTATTAAATTAATTACAAAGGATGAGATCTTTGGTACTGTCAAGTGTCATATGCTTAGCGTCGAATGGCAGAAACGAGGTTTGCCACATTGCCATATGTTGTTTTGGTTAGACAGAAAAATACAGCCAGACGAAATTGATGACTTGATAGTTGCCGAACTACCTAATAAAGATGAAGATCCAACACTCTTTCAAATAGTCACAAAAAACATGATACATGGGCCATGTGGCGAAGAAAGCATCTCATCGCCATGCATGAAAAATGGTATATGCACCAAAAAATATCCGCGGCGTTTTGTCAATGAAACTCAGACCGGTGATGATGGATATCCCGTCTATCGTCGTCGTGACGGTAATAACGGCGGACAGGTTGCTACCTTAAATATACGGGGTAGGACAGTTAGCATAGACAATAGATGGGTGGTGCCATATTCTCCAATATTATGTCGGACTTTCAACTCTCACATAAACGTCGAATATTGTCATTCCGTACAGGCTATAAAGTACATATGCAAATATATAAATAAAGGATCTGATCAAGCAACTTTCAGTGTCAGAAATGCTTATGACGAAGTTGAAAATTATTTGAGCGGCCGGTACATCAGTACATCTGAAGCAGTGTGGAGGTTGTTAGAGTTTCCTATCCATGACAGACACCCTACCGTAGTACACTTAGCGGTGCACTTAGAGAACGGACAACGAGTATACTTCTCAGCACAAAACTTGCAAAATATTGTGGAAAATCCACCAAAAACCGACACTGACAGCGTTTTTTGACCTGTGCAGTAGGGACGGATTTGCCAAAACACTACTCTATCATGAAGTCCCTCATTACTATACATGGGCTAACAATAAATTTTCTAGAAGGAAACGTGGTCAAGACGTAGTTGGACACCCTGGCATAAAAAAAGAGGCGGCATTAGGAAGAGTGTACGGCATTCATCCTTCTCAGTCAGAATGCTTTTATCTCCGGATACTACTACATCATGTACGTGGCCCAACATCCTTTCAGGACTTAAAAACCATTGATGGAGTTGTTAAAGAGACCTACAAAGCCGCTTGCCGAGATAGAGGTTTGCTGGAAAATGATAACCAATGGGAAGTAACTTTGAGAGAAGCATCGATATACCAATGTCCGTCAAAACTGAGAGAATTGTTTGTGGTGATTTTATTATTTTGTTTCCCCTCGGAACCTCTCAACTTATGGGACGCCTTAAAAGACGATTTGTGTCAAGATATCAGACACATAGCCCAACAACAAGGTCAAGATTTTGATGTTTATAATGAAGGCTTGATACAAATCGAAAACAAACTGTTAGAAATGAACGACAAAAATTTAAGGGACTTTGGGTTACCCACTCCTAATCGCTTACTACAACATAATATAATTAATTCCATACCAAGCTGTGCATACGATGTTAACGAGTTAACAGTATTTCTCAACTCAAATGTACCCAAGTTGGTGGCAGATCAAAAAATAGCATTCGATGCAATAATTGCAAGTGTAGAAAATAACAAGGGTGGCCTTTTTTTTTTTGGATGCGCCTGGCGGAACGGGTAAAACTTTTCTTGCCAATTTAATATTAGCCAAAGTACGACACTCCAGAAGAAAAGCACTAGCAGTTGCATCGTCCGGAATTGCCGCGACTCTATTAAATGGTGGGAAAACTGCACACTCAACTTTTAAATTACCGTTGTCTGTATCCTTAGAACAACTATCTGTATGCTCAATCCGAAAAAACGGTCCACTGGGGCAACTGATAAAGGAATCGTCACTGATTATATGGGATGAGTGCACCATGAGCCATAGAGCTCATGTCGAAGCTGTGGACCGCACATTACAAGATATCAGGAACTCGGACAATTTGATGGGGGCGTAACCTTTGTGTTGGCTGGAGACTTTCGCCAAACACTTCCTGTTATAAAAAAAGGTACACGTGCCGACGTTATTAAAGCGTGCCTCAAATCATCTCCTTTATGGCAATCCATTGAAACTCTTAATTTGCGCACAAATATGAGAGCACATTTAAGCAATAATCACAATGGAAATTTCTCGGAAAAAATACTTCAACTTGGTGATGGTAAATTACCTTCAACAGTGGCAAACAGCACCCAAATTTTGTTGACAAATGAATTGGCTCAAACTGTGAACAGTCTGGAAATTCTAATAGACAAAATCTATCCTGACATCCAAAATCTAACAGAAAGAAATTTCAATTGGCTTTGCTCGAGAGCGATAGTGTCACCGTTAAACGACTCAGTAAACGAAATAAATGAAATGATTATGGAAAAAGTTCCGGGAGATTTTAGGAGTTACAAATCTATTGACACCGTATGTAACATTGAAGATACTGTGCACTATCCGGAAGAATTTTTAAATTCCCTCAATCCTCCTGGCTTACCATCACATGAAATAAAATTAAAAAGAGGCACTCCCGTTATGCTTTTGAGGAATTTAAGCCCTCCCAGTATGTGTAATGGTACAAGACTTATGATAAAGGAATTACGAGATAATGTGATTGTAGCCACAATCATTACTGGACCCGCGGCCGGACAGCTCGCTCACATTCCACGAATTCCGATGATTCCGACGGATTTGCCTTTTTCCTTTAAAAGGTTACAGTTTCCTGTAAAGATATCGTTTGCCCTTACGATAAATAAATCACAGGGACAAACTTTTTCGATTGTTGGCATCGACCTAAGAAAAGAGTGCTTCACTCATGGACAATTATATGTTGCCCTTTCTCGAGTAGGATCACCAAAAAATCAATATGTATTGTTATCACCAACAAATACCACAGCCAACATAGTATACAGCGAAGCTTTAAGATAAAAATTCTGTAAAATAAAAATAATAAATAACCAATAGAAATAAAAGATAATTAAAAAAAAACCCGGGCGAAGCTGGGGCAGGCAGCTAGTATTATATATATTGCAAAATAACCCGATTCCACCGAACACAATTTATTATATTATACATATTGGAAAAATATCCTGAGTCCATCGAACACAATTAATTATATTATACATATTGGAAAAATATCCTGAGTCCACCGAACACAATTTGTTATATTATACATATGGGAAAAATTTCCTGATTCCACATCAACACTATAAGCCGTTCCAACTTTTGCATGATATTTATTTCAGCAGAGCTATTTCGCACACGCCGTCGGCACACATCCATTAAATAAATAATAAATAAATAAATCCTTTTTGTGTAAGCCGTGGCGGTGCGAATCGTATTTATTTCCATATTCCTTGCGATAATTTCCGCAGCTCAGCAACCAACTGCAAATATTTTGCAAAACATTTTTTGGTCGAATTTTTTGATATTTTGCTCGCACATCAAAGCAGTGGTTCCAAAAAAAAAAACTTTTAATTGGTACAACTGTTCCGTATCCACATATTCCAAAAATAGACCGGAGCTGCAACGCTAAGAACGAACACAAGCGGACCGCTTGCAATTGTCTATCACGAGGAATCGAAGCAGCCACTGCGCTTTATTAATTTTTTTGTTTGTTTTCTTGAATCAAAATCAATTAATTCCATACGTTTTTTGTCGCGTCGCATACATTGACATTGTTGACATTCCGCTATTAGAATTTTCGATATTTGGAGCCGCACCTGTATTGATCGGAAGTTATCGATTCCATCCTTCCGTTTCCTTTCAAATACACCCCGGTGATCCGCAACAGCGGAACCACATTCCAGTACAGACTTTTCCGGAGTGTCAAATTACCACAAAGCCAGCCAGGGTTGCCTAGTTAATCTGATTTCGGGAATGCCAGAAGACAAAACAAAGTTATCGGTTCCGTCTGCAAATAAAACGCGATCGCTATCCGCTTCTCCTCGCGCGCGCACCTCAAGCGCAGTAGTTCCGACATCAATAACCAAGGCAAAGAGCGAAACTTCATTAGACACCCAAGAGGGCGAAAAGAAATTGTCTGTTCCTACGAGCAATCCGAAACGATTGTCGCTCACGCCTAAGGTTAGGTCACAGATCCAGACCAAGTCCGTAAAGTCGCTGGCAACTCGTTCTCAGGCAAAAATGAGCAACGACATTGCAATTGCAGCCCTCGCGCGGTTCATAACGGTGTCCGACCGCATGAGCAATTTCAGAGCGACCATAGAAACTCCAGGGCCGTCAGCTCCGTCCGTCCACACCTGCAAAGTCCGTAAGGAACAAGTCCGCTCACTCTGGGAAAAGGCCGAAAAAGAATTCGAAGCGTGTTTAGACACGATTTCCAGCATTACGACTGAAGGAGCGGAGGAGATTCTGGCGACTCTGCATCGAAAGTATGAATATTGCTATTCGGTGTACGAGGAGCTATCAGTTCATCTCAGCGAGCTGATGCACAAAACCACTCCGCAGCAGTCGACAGCGGGCACCACTAATCAGTCCGCTTACATTTCGTCTGGGTGCCGGTTACCACCATGCGATACAGAAGTATTCGAAGGAGATTACCTAAAATGGCCAACATTTAGGGACCTTTTTACAGCAGTCTATGTCAACAATCCTAGGTTGACACCGGTCGAAAAGCTTTTCCATCTCAATGCTAAAACTAGCGGCGAGGCTAAGGCAATCGTAGCCAAGTCCCCTCTCACAAATGAGGGTTTCGACTCAGCATGGGCAGCGCTTCGAGACCGTTTCGAAAATAAGAGACTGCTAGTAAACAGCCAACTCAAACTCCTTTTTAACTTGGGGTCCGTCAGTTCCGAATCAGGCCAGGCTCTGAAAGATCTTCAGAGCACAATCCAAGGGTGTTTGGTCGCTCTAGCTCATTCCAACATTTCCACAGAGAATTGGGACTGTCTCCTGGTATTCCTGTGCGCCAGTAGATTAGCAGTCCCTTTCATCTAAGTCCGACATTCTGACTTGGGATGAGATGAACACGTTTCTTGGTGACCGATACCGAACGCTAGAGGCGATTGAGGATATGAAACCAAGCCACAGCAATCACTCTACTACTAAGAGTCAACCCGTCTCCAGGAGGCTCAACTCTTTCGAAGCTAAAGTGGTTTCCAAACCGAAGAATTGCGATCTGTGCTCAAAGGAGAATCATCCAGTCCGCTTATGCCAGCGTTTTCTCCAGATGTCTGTCGATGCGCGAACCAACTACATCAAGAAGAAACAGCTGTGCCTAAATTGTTTCGCGAGAGGCCACCAGCTACGTGAATGTACGAGCACTCACAGCTGTTTCACATGTCGAGCTCGGCATCATACGTTGCTCCATAAAGGCAACCCCAATTCCAGTGGGTCAACTGCCGGAAATAGTTCTTCTGCAAGCCCACAAAATCCAGCTGTACAGAGGGCCGCCAACGCTTCAGAAAATCTGCCCGGTGTGCAGAATTATTTCGCGACCGGTGCCAGAGCGGTTTTACTAGGTACGGCCATCATTGACATTTGCCACTTGGGCACGAACTACAGGGCTCGCGCTCTAATAGACTCGGGTTCTGGTGCTACGTTTATTACGGAACGCCTGTTCAATGTAATTAAGCTGCCATTCCGCCTCATCCAAGCCCAAGTTTTGGGCTTAAATAAGACCATTTCCGCTCAGGCGACCAGGCTCTGCCATTTTTCGATTCGAGCTCCTAATAAGCCAGGCCTTCAGCTAGAAACCGCAGCTTACGTTCTGCCTGAATTGGCCGGAAAGCTACCGTCCTATCCAATTCCACGAGATGCGCTGATTGATTTACCTGCTATCCCCCTGGCAGATCCCACATTTCTTGAGAGCTCCCAGATAGATGTTCTGATCGGAGCCGACATTTTACCATCCGTTCTGCTGAGCGGCATGCGCACAAACATTTGTGGCTCTCTCCTAGGTCAGGAAACTATTTTTGGCTGGGTGCTTACCGGCCCAGTTTCAAGCACATCTAGTCAGCATCGGGTATCCGCTTTCACGACCCAGATAACCGAAACGAGTGACAGAGTCTTAGAAAAACTTCTCACAAAGTTTTGGGAGGTGGAGAACATACCCACTAAAAGGGTAAAGGACTCCGATTCCTATTGCGAAAACAATTTTCTCCAAACGACCACTCGAGACGCAAGCGGGAGATACGTAGTATCGTTACCATTTCGCGAGCCTGAAAATCTCGGGTCCCAATTGGGGCACTCGCGATCCAGTGCCCTAGCTCAGTTTCTTAGAAACGAAAACCGTTTGAAGAGAGACTTTCCATTAAAAGAGCAGTATGACTCAGTCATTCAAGAGTATTTGGATCTGGGTCACATGAGAGAAATTCCCCTGTCGTACGATTCTCCAAACTATTACCTGCCACACCACGCGGTGATCAAACCCGAGAGCACTACCACCAAACTTCGCGTGGTATTCAATGCTTCTAGCCCTTCATCCAATGGGACAAGCTTGAACGACATTCTTCATGCTGGTGCAGTCCTACAATCTGATTTAACCATTCAGATATTGAAGTGGCGTTATTTCCAGTACGTGTTCAGCGCAGATATCACCAAGATGTACCGTCAAATCTGGGTCGACCCCAAACATACGCCGTTCCAGAGAATCTTATTCCGGAATAAAGAAGGAGAAGTAACCGATTTCGAGTTAAAAACAGTCACCTTTGGTGTGAACTGTGCACCATTTCTGGCACTCCGCGTACTCCAACAATTGGCAGACGATGTAGAAAAGGACTTCCCTACAGCAAGCAACATTATTCGTCACTTTATGTACGTAGACGACGTTCTGGCAGGGACCACTTCCATACAAGAGGCTCGACTGGCAATCAGCGAACTTCGCCACGCTTTCAGCAGCGCAAGGTTCCCATTGAGAAAGTGGACGGCCAACCAGAAGAGCATACTCGAAGACATCCCAAACGAGCATCTACTCCACGAGGACTTTCGCGATCTTCATTCCGAAAGCTTTGCCAAAACACTGGGCGTTCGGTGGAATGCGACCTCGGACGAGTTCTGTTTTGTTCCACCGCCAGTGTCGATTAAATCCACTCATACGAAGAGAGAGGTTCTTTCCCAAATTGCGAAGCTTTTTGACCCAGCCGAATGGCTGTCTCCGTTTATTGTCCGCTCAAAAATCTTTATGCAAGAAATTTGGTTGCAGGAGTTGGGCTGGGATGAAAATACCCCCACAGAAATGGATCAAAGATGGCAAGATTTTTTGCGCAGCTATTCCGAGCTTGAGCAGATCCGCATTCCAAGGTGGGTTGGTTTCCAGCCAGGAGTGAAGGTAGAGCATCACGGGTTTTGTGATGCGTCTCAGAAGGCTTATGGGGCCGCTATATACTTGCGGGTGGAAGTAGGCCACAACATTATGACACGTCTGCTTACCGCCAAAACCCGAGTCGCCCCTGTTAAAACGGTGTCCCTTCCACGGCTCGAGCTGTGTGGGGCATTGCTGTTGTCAGAGATGATTGCAGCTATCCTTCCGAATATGCCAATTTCCAATTCCGACATTTTCTGCTGGACCGATTCCACCATCGTCCTCGCATGGTTGAGCAAGCCGGCATGCCACTGGACCACGTTTGTCGCCAACCGGGTGACAAAAATTACTCAGGTGACGAGCGCTGAGCATTGGGCGCATGTGCGATCTGAGCACAATTCCGCGGACCTGGCCAGTCGAGGCGTTTCGCTGCGGGAGCTGGTTCATAGCCAACTCTGGTGGGAAGGACCGGACTGGTTGCAACAGCCAAAGGACATGTGGCCAACACGGGAGCTAGGACCTCCAGTCACAGACATAGAGCAGCGTGCTGTGAAGGTCAATTTCGCCAAGGCCCCATCCGAAGATTTTTTGGAACGTTTCTCCGCGTTGGACAAGGCTAGAGTCGCTGCCCCCACAAAGGTTTTGCCATTATCCGAATAGAATCGCTGAGGACAACCTCTTCTTGCTACGAATCGGGCAAATGCCGCGAGGAACTTCTCCGTTGTCAGGTCGGACGTAGGCTCTAAATGGATAGCCTTCGTGGAAAAACACACAAACACGCAAACATATCCCTTGGTAATAAGGCATGCTCTGCCAGTATAGTTTTTAATTTCAAACGGGCCTGCATAATCCATGCCCGTATATGTGAATGGCCTGGAAAAGGAAACTCGATCGGTAGGGAGATCGCCCATCAATTGCGTCTGGACTCTCTTCCTGTAAATATTACACACCTTACAGGAATTCAGCACAGCTTTTACCAGATTTTTGATTTTAGGAATCCAATACTTCGATCGGATGAGGCGTACCACTAGTTGGTTGCCGCCATGCAGGGAAATCTGGTGTGAAAAAAGGACGAGAAGACGAGCTAACCGACAGTTGTATGGCAGTATAATAGGATGCCGCTCGTCGTACTGGAGGGCCGTTGAGGCCGTAATGCGCCCACATGCCCTTAACAGGCCTTGTTGGTCTAGAAATGGAAACAGGTTGGCTATCGGGCTGGAAACTGGAATCGGACGCTTATCGTTTAGGACTTTGAGCTCTTGGGTATATTCTCCCCGCTGAGCATTTCGAATGAGGACTCTTTCAGCTTCTTGGACCTCTTCCTTGGTGGGTCGCTCAGCAGCGTCCCTCGGCATCTTGCGGCAGCGTTGAGTGAACCGTATTACGTACGCAAGGACCCGCAGAGCCTTGTCCAACGCGGAGAAACGTTCCAAAAAATCTTCAGATGGGGCCTTGGCGAAGTTGACCTTCACAGCACGCTGCTCTATGTCTGTGACTGGAGGTCCTAGCTCCCGTGTTGGCCACATGTCCTTCGGCTGTTGCAACCAGTCCGGTCCTTCCCACCAGAGTTGGCTATGAACCAGCTCCCGCAGCGAAACGCCTCGACTGGCCAGGTCCGCGGAATTGTGCTCGGATCGCACATGCGCCCAATGCTCAGCGCTCGTCACCTGAGTAATTTTTGTCACCCGGTTGGCGACAAACGTGGTCCAGTGGCATGCCGGCTTGCTCAACCATGCGAGGACGATGGTGGAATCGGTCCAGCAGAAAATGTCGGAATTGGAAATTGGCATATTCGGAAGGATAGCTGCAATCATCTCTGACAACAGCAATGCCCCACACAGCTCGAGCCGTGGAAGAGACACCGTTTTAACAGGGGCGACTTGGGTTTTGGCGGTAAGCAGACGTGTCATAATGTTGTGGCCTACTTCCACCCGCAAGTATATAGCGGCCCCATAAGCCTTCTGAGACGCATCACAAAACCCATGATGCTCTACCTTCACTCCTGGCTGGAAACCAACCCACCTTGGAATGCGGATCTGCTCAAGCTCGGAATAGCTGCGCAAAAAATCTTGCCATCTTTGATCCATTTCTGTGGGGATGTTTTCATCCCAGCCCAACTCCTGCAACCAAGGCTCTTCGAGCATACTCGAAGACATCCCAAACGAGCATCTACTCCACGAGGACTTTCGCGATCTTCATTCCGAAAGCTTTGCCAAAACACTGGGCGTTCGGTGGAATGCGACCTCGGAGGAGTTCTGTTTTGTTCCACCGCCAGTGTCGATTAAATCCACTCATACGAAGAGAGAGGTTCTTTCCCAAATTGCGAAGCTTTTTGACCCAGCCGGATGGCTGTCTCCGTTTATTGTCCGCTCAAAAATCTTTATGCAAGAAATTTGGTTGCAGGAGTTGGGCTGGGATGAAAACATCCCCACAGAAATGGATCAAAGATGGCAAGATTTTTTGCGCAGCTATTCCGAGCTTGAGCAGATCCGCATTCCAAGGTGGGTTGGTTTCCAGCCAGGAGTGAAGGTAGAGCATCATGGGTTTTGTGATGCGTCTCAGAAGGCTTATGGGGCCGCTATATACTTGCGGGTGGAAGTAGGCCACAACATTATGACACGTCTGCTTACCGCCAAAACCCGAGTCGCCCCTGTTAAAACGGTGTCCCTTCCACGGCTCGAGCTGTGTGGGGCATTGCTGTTGTCAGAGATGATTGCAGCTATCCTTCCGAATATGCCAATTTCCAATTCCGACATTTTCTGCTGGACCGATTCCACCATCGTCCTCGCAAGGGGGGGAGAATGTTCGCGCCAGAGCGGCGCTTTCCAGTCCTTTTTGAACCGCCCTTGGAGTCTTAACAGTCGTGAGAGCAGTTCTTCCAGATCGCTTGCATCTCGCTCTCTGGCACTGTTAAGGGTCTCCAATCCGCTCTCCAAGCGGCTCTCAAAGTTTTCCACCCGGTAGCTTAAGTTTAGTTCTAATCTACAAGTGTGAAAGTGAAGTCGTGAAAATAAAGAGTGAAGTTTTTTATAACGTTTAACGAAAACCTTGCCCGCGTTTTTATTCCACCCGAAATTTCCAATAAGAAGGAAGGAAGACACGCCGTCGTATTTCAACTAAACATTTATTTTTTCTTTACTGAACTTAAGGTTAAATATTTTTAAAGTTTTTTTCTCCGCATAAAAATCGGAGGGTAAGGTTTTCTGATAGTTGATAGTCCTAGCTGTCATTCACGCTATTAGAATTACATCGCTCTTTGCGTCATTAGATAATGGCGAGCAGTTAATTAGAAAAGGTTGTGGTGGTCCGAAACCGACCGCGAAGTGATGGTCCGAAACCGACCCCCATTTATTGGCAGCTCAATATGTCATAGCGTATTTTTGAGGGAAAATATGAAAAAGTAAACAAGATTCAGTAAAGAAAAGTAACAGAAACAGCAAAAACACCAGAAGAAAGCGAAGAGACAGTCATCAACGAGCGGCTTTCGAAAAACAACGCGAAAACTTACTATGAGAAAGAGGACAACTCAGACTTCATCAATTGACTACAGTGCCCTTTATTTCATACATTAATTTTTATTTTCTGGAAAGAACCTTCAATATATTTCTTAATAAACGTCAAAATCATTCAATTCTATTTTATGTTATTAAATTTTTCTGTTAAGAAATAGGGGGTCGGTTTCGGACCACTACTTTTGAGTACGACCAAAAAGTGGAGTTTTATATTTGCCTGAATATCTAACGCTTCAAAGCACCTACGCACTTACTAATCAATTACATGTATAGTAAACTCATCCCTCTACATAGTAAATTTTTGAACTGAACTGAAAAATTGATTTTTCTCACCTTTATCGCCTTTGCCATTTAGGGGGTCGGTATCGGGCCACCCTCCCCTACTAAAATATCACTTACCTTTATATTATTAATTTTAATCTTATATATTTGATTTTTTTACTTATTATAAAATACAAAAATACTATATTATTTTTTGTAACCAAAAAACAACGGCCAGAACCAGAAAAATCTATTAACCAAGAAATTTTTTTAACAGAATTAAGAGATCATTTAAATGAAATTCATGTTGAATCGGGACGATCCATTTTAGAAGGGGGAGAGTTATCCAATCCATGAAACCAGGCCACTTATGGCTTTTATAAACAATATTTTCAAATTCTGCATTTCCTTTGTCTTTGGCTTTGAGGCCCGCTCATAGTTCCCCAGCTAAGCTAAACAATTCAAATTTAAAGTAAACATCAGCTTCCGTTCGAAGCGCAATCAATTGCGCCGATTGAGTTTCAAGTCCCCACCAAATTGCATCGGTCAGCATAATTCAATTTCACAATAAGATGCGACAGTTTCATCTTAAGCTTTTATTCTAAACAAAAATTGAAGTTCGAAAAACTCAAAGAAGAAAAGCTCCTGGCCGAGGTTTATTGGAGCCGATTAAAAAGTTAAGCAGACAGTCCTGTTCAGATCGGCATCGCGTTCAGTTATATCTGTTAAAGTGTCTTGTGAAAAATTGTATTTATAAGTTTAAAAGTTTATCATCGAAATAAATATATAAATAAAAAATAAAATATATTTTTTTTAATTCATCAACAACATCAAATTTAATTTGCATCTTTTTTCTAGGGCTTGAAACATGAAAGAAAATGTTTTTCCCATTGAGATAAACCGATTTTTGGCAATTTTATGAAAGTTTTTCCGAGAAAAAGGTGCGAAAAAATGAAAAAATTGATTTTGCAAAAAAATAAAGGGGGGACCCCCACAAAATTTTCGAAAAAATTTATTTTCAGAAATTGGAAAAAGCTGGTATGCAACTTTTTTCTAGGGCTTGAAACATGAAAGAAAATACCTTCCCTGTTAAAATAAACCAATTTTTGGCCATTTTATGCAAGTTTTTCCGAGAAAAAGGTCCGAAAAAATAAAAAAAACTGATTTTGCAAAAAAATCAAAATTTTCGAAAAAATTTATTTTCAGAAATTGGAAAAAGCTTGTATGCAACTTTTTTCCAGGGCTTGAAACATGAAAGAAAATATCCGATAATTAATAATCCGATTTTTGGCCATTTTATGCAAGATTTTTCAAGAAAAAGGTGCGAAAAAATGAAAAATCGATTTTGCAAAAAAAATCAAGGGGGACCCCCACAAAATTTTCGAAAAAATTTATTTTCAGAAATTGGAAAAAGCTGATATGCATCTTTTTTCTAGGGCTTAAAACATGAAAGAAAATGTTTTTCCCGTTGAGATAAACCGATTTTTGGCCATTTTATGCAAGTTTTTCCGAGAAAAATGTGCGAAAAAATGAAATAATCTATTTTGCAAAAAATCAAGAAGGACCCCCACAAAATTTACGAAAAAATTTACTTTCAGAAATTGGAAAAAGCTGGTATGAAACTTTTTTCTAGGGCTTGAAACATGAAAGAAAATGTTTTTCCCGCTGAGATAAACCGATTTTTGGCCATTTTATGCAAGTTTTTCCGAGAAAAAGGTGCAAAAAAAAAAAAAAAACTGCATAAAGAACTTTTAATTATTTATATAAAATACCCAATAATAATAAACAGATGCGAAATATATCACGCTAGAGCAATTTCCCAAATCGATGGAAAACTAGTATTAAGCAATCAAATCGCAAAATGCGCAAACACCTTTTATGAAATGT